CCTCACAAAATGCAAAAAGCAGAGATGCTAAGAATCACCTGTTTAAGAAAGACTTCAGACTTAGCATCCTGCTTTTTGTTGGATATGAAAGAAACACGTAATGTGTTTGGAGAAACGCAGTGTGAACATCAGGTAGATCAAATGATGTGCGCCTAATGAGATGCGTCCCAGCTGGCGGCGAAATGAGCTGCAGTGTTGAGTAGTAATGAATGAGAATGGCCAAAGGTTCGTGGAGGGGAAGCGAAGGTTGCCAACAAGATTCTGCCTTGGAAAGCTGCCAAGATGTCTGGAGGAAGGAGAAGCGCGAGGATTAAACAGCAGGCACATCAAAGCCTGCAGCAGCCTGAGAGACAGACAGGCTGCGAGGATGGGAAACAGCAAAATGTGATTTGGTTACCCAAACTGATCGTAATAACAAGTCCTAATTAGTATGTATTCTGATATAGCTGATGATAGGAGAGGTTTTAACTGGCAACATATTCTTTATCTTAATATCTACATTTTACAGTTGGAGAGGAAACAAGAAGCATCTGACTGATGGCGCTAGCATGCTTTTCATTTCATTCTTTGGCTGCAGTAGTTTAAATAGCCTATGTTTTGGTTTATTTTATAATTCAGTGAAAATGGTTTCCATCCATTACTCATACATCTGGGGACATATGCTTTCTAGATGCAAAAATACTGCATGCATGAATTTTAAAAATCCCACGTGACCTCGTGAAAGTTAGAGCATTCACAACATTTTCAGACCTTTGACCTTTGACCTTGAGATCAAGATAACTAAGATTCAAACTCATCTGAGACTTTTAGTAGATGCACCAATTTGAAACTCCTACGTTGCTTCGTTCTCAAGTTCTCACATTTACAAACTTGGATGTTCCCAAACCCCGAGCAAAAAATGAGCAAGAATGTTTCTCATAGACGCAACTGTCCAAAGTTCAAGCCTGAATTCACTGGGTAAATAAAACAATAAAAAGGGTTCTCAGGTAAGGGATGTTTCCTGGCGTCTTGGGCCAATTATGAATTCACCAGGTACTCAGCAAATGTCTTTACTTTTATTCTTTTTTATTCAATATAGAAAGAGGTTACTACAAACTGTGATTGCTGTTTAAAAGTCGCATTTTGCTATTGGAGGGTGAAGCAGGGGGTGTATCACAACAATATCCATAAAACTAATCAATAATAATTAAAAAAACAAAATCCAAGGTAATTTCCCTCCATCGATGGGCTGCTTTTAGTGCAGCAGATATTTTTAGATTGTCTATTTTTTGGTACTTCAGACACGGCACAGTTCCTTAAGTGAATCCATGGGATTTACTTAAAGGGAACATTGTTGTTTATTATTGTTTGTTTTTTGTCAGCTGGGAGCGTTAGCAGCTTGCTGCCAGTACAACGCCTGCCAGCTGGCTAACAGCCAGCTTGTCATGAGACCTGGAGTGACCTCCTGTGCACTGAGGTGGTGAAACAGGAATGTGAAGGCAGCTTGTAAGCTGCAGCGACAGTCAGCAGGCAGCAGGACTAACAGGATGCGACTGTCAGTATGCAAGCTGTGACAGCATGTGTCTTTATTAGATCTTGTGGATGTAAGTGCATAGGTGGACATAAACAAATACATCCAGGTAGCATCGGGCCACATAAAGCAGACCCGGGAACTGGATGAGATCCAGACTCCTGATAGTTACAGTATGAGGCTGATTAATGAATTCACATACTCACAACACACATCATCACAAACGTGCACACAAAAAATGGCACATATGCACCTGACTGTTGTACTGCATTATCTCTCCCAACATTCTGTGTGTTTGGTTATGATACAGAATAAAAAAAGACTACAGTCCAAGAAAAATTCATAACGCCAAAACAAAGGAAGAAGGACATCAGCAGCTACTATAGCAACCCGATCGCTCATCATGTGCTCGCATTAGTGCATTAGTAACCATGTCATAAACCCATACAACTTCCTGCTCTTGCATGTCTACATTAAGAGAACACATAGTCATGTAATGTCTTATTAGCTGCTGCCTAATGGACTCTCCAACTTTGCACTTATGGAG